GGGCGCTATTTTAATAATCTCCCAGCACTAGTGACATAAACCCTATAGATAAATTATACAGAAGCCTACTCTTCCTAGCTTCATATTAAACAGCAATAATTTTCTAAGGAAGATTAGGACATCTCTTGCAGGCATACTGTCAACCACCCTCTGGAAGTGCAAATTTCTGGTATTCTACCTCTATGGAGAGCACAAGAAACTCATCTCATATGCTCATCATCAATAACTACATAATCCTGGAATCTTAGAACTCACTTATGTCCAGAGAAGGCATTCAAAAGATTCAATCTCTTTTTCTTTTAAAATATATTTATCTATGGTAGTGTGGACTTTTGAGGGACCAAGTTGTCCGAAGTCCACGGACAGCAAGCCTCCCTTTGGACGATCAGACTGCAAATGTTGAGTCTGGAAATCTCTGGATTTATGTTCAAAGTTCACCATTTGGTGGGAACTAGTCTTCTCTCAGAGTTGAATTTGGAGGCCAGACTGCTGTAACTCCTCCTGAGGTCATAAAGGGAAACTGTTCTGAAGGATTGGTCTTGCAGCATTATTAGTACCTAAATACAGCTCTTAGAAATACGAGGCTTTTCTGAAAACATTCTCTTAGATCTGTGCATTTCTAGAGCAAAATCCATGTGTGTGCAGAGAGCTGCACACCATTATGGGGATGTAATTGCAGCTTTAGTGATATTCATCTTGCTCAGGTTGTTTTTCATAGAAGATTAAAACACTTGCATTGCCTGCTCCAGTGGCAAGATCCCTTCTACTAGAATACTGAAGAACTAACCCATAACTCGTAACAAAACTGTTGTTTGTCCTTATATTATACAATGAGAAGTTCTCTATTCTAGACCAATATCACATTATCAGAACGCAAACACCTAATGTTGGTCAAGTCAAACAGGCCTAGTGCTGCTCCATTGTTACCACATTGAGACTGGAATAATATAATTGTGACTTTTGCTATGCAGGAGAAAGTTCTGTAACACACAGAACACGTCTCACTTGATTGTCCAGTGTTTCCTGCGCAGAAGTTACATAAGAACAAACCTGCACGACATGAAATGAAGGACCATGGTTTCCATGAAGAATCAGACAGATCTGCACTCTGCACTTGTACAAAAGCAGAAAATGCAATCCCCTCCTGAGATATGACAGGCACAGGGTGCAAGCACTTATAAGAAGGCAGGGCATGCACAGGAGACACAGGACACACATACCAATGTCTGAAAGCTAATCCTTCCCCCCTGACATAGAGCCAGCACGTAGCACACACACACCCTGCCCAGCACTTCCCCAAAGCACTAAACTTCTGACACATTATGCAGCACAGTGCTCACACACAGCATTTCCAGACACCTATAAACTGCAAAAGTAGCAACTGCACTGAAGAGAGCTCACTGGTTAAAGCTGCAAAACATATAGAGACAGCTTTGTAGTACCTGCAACATTAGAGTTACAGAGTCCTTGAAATCATCCTGGACAAAATCTGCAGATTAAGTGGGATAAAATGTCCAGGAACACCTTTAAAGTTACCTCTATGAATAAGGGAGAAAGCCTAGAAGGTGCAGTTGGCTTTTGATTATTCATATGGGCTCATTAGTGGGTCAGGATGGATGAAGAAACAGCCAGGTAAAAGCACAACTGATACAGCATGAAAAAATATCACCAGCCAGAGTGCTGCCTGGTACTGATGACTTCAGCTCTGCAACATGCATATCTCAGTATTTCTTTCCAGTCTGGGGCAGAGAGGGAAGTTGGAGCATGGCTAATTCCCTGCCTGAGTTCTTCAGCCAGTGATAATCAATAGCTGTCTGCATAAGTTTTGTCAGAAAGGATATGAGCGGATGAAAAGCATAAAATTACTGAAGCAGTATGGATAAATGAATGAGCTTTCTGTAAAAACATACCAATTTATATTCCCAACATAAATGTACATTTTTGAGTATTTCTGGAGTAAAAAGCTTTAAAAAACTTGCTTCTATAGACAAGTGGATGAAGTATGCATATTGATCATATACAAGAAAAAAAATGCAATGACTTCATCAGACCATTGGGTGATTTTGGCTGGCTAAGGAACAGAGCTTTTTTTTTTTTTTTTTCCTGCAGTTGTTTTCTATGCAGTCTTCAGCCACCCTGCAAAGGAATTAACATGACACCACGCTGTGAAACAAGGAAGTGCTATGCATGCATTCCCTATTACAGCATTCACAGAATTCCCAAGAAATGAACAGCACATCTACCTACTTGAATTTCATATAATTTGGGAAATTTCACTCTTCTCTATACCTCTCAAGATTGTTACAGAGGATTGCATCTTTATTTTTCAAGCCTTTAGCCTGCAACAGGATGTGCTGGCAAGGATTTTGGATGCATAGACTTCTCTGTTGCAGTACACAGATGTTAGGTTCCAAATGCAAACATCCCATTGCAAGCTCATACAGTTTAAACTGGAGAAAATACTTCAGGATCATTTTTCTCTCTTCCTTTTGCCTCAAGGTTATTGCAAAAGCACATTACAGTATGCACTTTGGCTTTTAAACTTTTATTGGAAAAGACAGATATGATTATGCACTTATGTTCAAAATTAGCTTTTACAAGATTATTTTATCTAAACATTAGTAATTTTAGAGTGACAACCACACTTCTGGTAAATTGTTGGGTAGGAACGTAGATTATTTTAGGGCATAGGAATATCTGAATTTATAGTAATATTTTAAAACATAATAGCATGAAGTTCTGTAATTAACTGTGAGATCTTCAGGATATTTTAAGCGGTGCATGCATTTTGCAAAACCCCTTGTTTTTTAGGTTTACAAAAATTTTATATGGAGAAAATGGTAAAAAACTCCAAGTTCAAATGCATGCACAAAATTACTTTTTACATTTAATCAAGAAAAGCCTAAGCCTAATTCCTCCAAGGCACTATCACAACCTGCTGGTTGTGCAGGGTCTCAGACTGCTTGTCTGTGTGTGTCACCAGGATCCTTGCATATCTTGCACAGCAAAAAGTTTCTTGGCTGCTGCCATAGTGCCAGCACTCTCTGAAACTGGAAGAGAACAAACTCAGGCACCTTCATTACTGATATAAAAGAGTTAAGTAACACATAGACCAGTCCTAGTGCCAAAGCCTTTCTGTAGGAGACAGTGGGGAAGGCTGCTCTAGGGGGAAATGTTTTTAGGCAGTTCCTTGAGCTGCACAATTGCCAAAACTGGTCTGTTCCCTGCCAGAGTAGGGGATTTGCAGCATGCCCTCACTGCATCAGTGAGAAGGGAAACCAGGCTCAGGATCAACTGCACCAGTGGGTTCTTCATGATGCCAAAACACAAGATCTGATGGGGGAGATGACTCAGAGCACTGAGATCTGGCTACGTGCTGGCCATCGCTGCTTGTTCTGAGGGCAATGCAGCAGGTACCTCACTGCACCATGAAGTCCTCTACCTGCAGATCTGGGTAAGCCTCCTCCTCCTCCCAGTGCCTCTTGTCTAACCTGGGGTTCCCTCTCCCCCACCACACTCATGCATGCTTATCAATACAACAGGACATTACACCCAAGTACAGAAAAGAAATTAAGGGTATTGAAAATAACAGCAGTATTCTAAAGTTTTTACTCATTAGGGAGTGAAAATGAACTCTATTCAACTGATCAGCTCATGTGAAGCAAAACTCTCTGAAATACAGGATAAATCAGGAACTAAATTGTTTTATTAAATCACAAGAAAAAAAATTACCAGACACCAGCATATCTCTTGTTAAACCCAGAAAAGGCAATGCAGAGACAGAATAAAAGCTTTATTCTTATCCTACCTCAGTAAAACAAAGGTATAAGAACACATCTCCTCTCTGCTCTGCTTGAAGTCAGACCACCCTGTGACAAGTTTGAGCCAGTGCTATATCTATGCCTTCAGTGGACCTTTGAAGATGTAGCAGAGGCTTTACTACTCCTGCAGTCTGCAAGCGCTATGCATAGTCAATCCACATAATGAATCCACAGCATGAAACACAGTTAAGTTAAAAGAAATACTTTTGCAATTCTCTCATATCAAAAACAAATGAAAACATCTATCTGCCAGAAACTGTATATTTGTTTTACTTGAAATCTTGTGCAACAAAGTAGAAAAGAAAAAAAAAAACCCAAAAAACCAACCAAAACTAAGGGCACAGTTTACTGTGGTCTAAATAACAACCTTTCCTATTTATAAAATCAAAGCTGTTAAAACAGCTTAGAGCACAAATTAACCCAGAACAGATTTTCAGACATTTAAAAGCACTTTTTTTTCTACTGCAGAGATGTAGAAGCACTTCAAAAAGCTAACAATTTGCAACAGTAAGGACTGGATAGGGATGAGGGTTATTAGGTTGCCTATTCTGTAACTTCTTGTCCCAGCTGTTCTGGACTTGTAAGATGCAAAAGGTCCAACTTAAAAACACCTGATGACAAAGGCTTATCTAGAAAATGCCGAAAGAGCCCATCTGTCCCATGCCAAGGAGAGCAAACACCGGCTCAAACCACATGAATGCTCACACTTGAGCACTGAGGGGCTTCAGAGTTTTCTAGGTGGCTGCTGAAGCAGGGGACATCTGTGCTCCCAGTGCAAGGGTGCAGACCTAGAGAGGAGAGCCTGTCACCTTTACCCAGTGTCTATTCCAGCTCCCCAGAAGCATATCCCGCTGCTGCCACAGGCAATCGGGAGCAATGCTCTAGCCTCCCGTTTCAAGGACAAAGAGGCAGCACTCAGCTTGCAGTCAATACTTCAGAGCTGCGGGTCAGAGGAGGGAAAGAGCAAAATAAAGAGAAAACTTGCATTTTACTTAGCCAGCATCTGCTACGAAGATGCTGAAAATTATGACTAGATATTAAGTGAAGGTCACGAGACTTATCTAAGACTACCGGGGGAGAAAAACAGATGGGGAAGGGGGAGGGAGAGAGGGAGAGAGGGAGAGAGCACGAGCACTGCAGCAAAGAAGCTACGCTCAGCCAATATATGCCGGCACTTACCATAAAAATAGAAAGATCCAAAGAGAATCAGATCAAGGATCCTTTTTATCTCTCTTCAGTAGAAAGATTCCCACATGAAGCTCTGAACACAGCTGTCCAGGGGAAAAGCAAGGTAATGTGCTGATGCACAGAAAGCACAAACACACAAACGGTAAGTCCTTTCACAGCCTTCGAAAACCTGCAAGCAGTTTGTGCCGAAAAAGCAAAGGTAAGAAGTCTGGAAACGACTCCTACATAACACTGCAGCTAAACCGGGCTGCTGGATTTCCAGTCACTCACAGCGCTCTGTTTTCATCCTCATCTTCTCACCATTACTTACATCCTAGAGGTGGGCTTGGGGGTGGGGATAAGAGATTTCTCCTCCGAGTGGAAAGGACCACAGAAGCGGCATCAGCATTTGCAATCAGTCTCCGGGAGCACCCAATCAGAGGACCCGAGGGGTGGCAGCGTGACAGCTGTCCGAGGCAGGGCAGCCCGACGCGACAGCTCCGGCACGGTCCTGCCGTGCCCGGCACCACCGGGGCTCCTGCACCCACCCACGGGCAAGCCAAGCACCTTGGGGCTCTGTGCCCGCTCCTCTTCGGGCTCTGTGCCTGCTCCTCCGGCAGCAGCGCCCAGGCAGGCACAGGCTCCTCCGGCTGTGCTCTGGCAGGCTTGCTGTGCTTGCTGCCTCCCTGCACTCCTACAGGGGCAAGAAAAGTTTGGAGGTTTGGATATCAGCGTCATTTACCTTGTAATGTTATTAGCCGGTACCTTCCCTATGTAAAACATACATTAATGTTGCTTCCTCTTCAAAGGTATCTTTTTGAAGAAAAAAGAAGCCTGTGTGAAATTTTACAGCGTTGTCCCATTGTTGCGAATGGCCCTGTTAGAGCTAGTGCTGGTTTTGACATGACATCACAGAGCCCAGAAAATACACGAGCATCAAACCCACAGAAAATACACGAGCAAAGTTCCTCTCCCTGCACCTGCCAAGACAACAACCGCATTAAGTGCTTTGCTGCTTTCTACCATACTATTTGACACCAAAAAAAGATTTTAAAAAACCTCAGACCTCTACTTAATGATATCCAGGATCTGGAGAGAATTATTCCTATGGTATTTAAACCATTGAACCAAGTCACCAGTCAAGTGGTGCAGTCAGATTTAAAGCTGCTAAGCACTGTAATTTACAAGGGATGTCCCTGATTCTAAGTTACAAGCGGCTGCATTTGACAGTGGAGGGAGAAATTAATCTGATCCTGCTCACAATGCAGTCCATAGTGGACGAAACATAAATACAGCACGGAAATTTGTGTTTACTTGAAGTTGACACTCCGCCAGTAGAAAAAGTCAGATGCTTACCTTTCCAAAACATTTTTAGAACAGTCAGTCCTGAATTTTTGCTGTATCACAAAGTAATCATGAATATCATACATCTGATATTCACATTTCAAAAGATGAAAAGGCCATGTAGTGCAAGGGGGGAGCATGGGGAAAACAGACATCAAAGCATTCCCAGCAGTGGTTCCCATATTACTTGATCAGTATCAGGTACTTGTAGATCACACCAGGTAACAACATAAACCTATCAGGGAAAGAGGAGGCCTAACAACAACATTTAAAATAAAGATAGTAAATCATAGCTTCTACATCTTGAAGCACAGACGAAAAATCTAAAGGGCAATTTAATACATCTAATCTGTTCCAAAATGTTGAATGTATAAATAGTGCAAGACCATACAAATTTCAGTAGCAACAACGGCAGAACACTAGGCTGTCATCCCAGATTGGTTAGAAGATATCACCTTTCTGTATGTTTTTTTGTTTTTCTCTTTTGTTTTGGCTTGGTTTTAGGTTTTTAATAAAATATTGTCCCCTCCAATGATAGGACATTGGAAGGCCCATTACTTTCTTACATTTTATTTAGGTTTTAATTAGCTGGTTTCATACTGTCAACAGGATATGCGTGATATTTATTCCTTCCTTTTCAGAAACATAATTTGCCCAAAAAACATGAGATCTGCTCAAGAGGGAGTAGGCACAGGTGAAGGCAGATCAAAAGAGCAAATGACAAAGGAGGGTAATTACCATTTCCAACTAGTGCACTAAGATATATACAGATAATAACACATACATAGGTAGCCAAAATTAAAAATATAGCCAATATAGGTGCAAACATGAGAAAAGAAGGAAGCAGCAGAAGAAAACACATTTAAACTCTGCAGTAAGCTTTCAAAACAGACTGCAATGCTAACAGAAAGATTACTACTTGACACTTGTGAGTGTCCCCAAGCCCAGATGTTATGCCTGGTGTTGAGGAGGGTGATGAGAGCAACAGCTTTCTCCCAACTTTATCCTGCCTGAAAGTGACTTCAGAAAATTAGCTCTTGGTACTGCTCAACTTGAATATCCTTCAACTTTCTGATTTTTCTATTTTTATTAGGCATTAAATTGAAGTGCTTTCAGTTATCAGCTTTTTAACCTCTATATTGATCTATTGAGAATTGGCAAAAATCTCTGCTTAGTTGTCATATCGGTAAATGTAGATGTTTTCTGATATTTTCCTCTGTCATATGGCTCCTTTGCAATTTTTCAGGATTTTTTTTTTTTTAGCTCAATTAGGAATTTAAACAATTCTTTTAAAGTACTACAAAACAAGTTATCTTTCTATTTATTCTAAAATAATTGGTGGTTTCTAATTAGAAACCACCAATACTGAGTATTGGAATGAAGTATTTCAGGTTATGATATCAGTTTTCCCTTTAAATGCAGAACAGAAATATTTACTGAATATATCTCCTTTTAACATTGGCATGGAAAATTTTGCTTTTCTACATCAGACCTCTAACAGACCAACACATTTTGAGTAAAAAAATAAATTCCTAATATACTGTTACTTCCAGTTATAAGAGAAATCTTATTTATTTTCTACTGAATTAAACAGTCATTAATATTGATGACTGTCAATACAGCAATTTTTTTGTATTTTATCCTGTTTATCTTACAGTTATGAAATTAATATCATTTTATTTTTAAGAATTCATTCTTCAAAATGTCATTTCCTTGGAAAACATAAAATGTTCTTAAATGACTTCCAGACAAACAAAAATTTCATAATTATAAAAAAGTAACTTCATTTTTCAAATCTCAGCCATGAAACAGGAATTATCAATGTCAATTCAAGTAGGAATTTTATCAATCTCTTTTTCAAGAAAAGTGGGTGGTCCAAAGCTTTTGCTTATGTTGCTGCTACATCACTTGAAATTGCATAAGGGAGGTTCTGAACAACACATGCATATGGAAAGGAAGCTAAAAAGTATGATGGACTTCAAGCAGAAGATGTTAGTTCAGCAAAATCAAAATGACCATTAATAAAAAAAAAAATCCATACAGCCATTTCTGAAGTACTAAAAATATCAAGATAGAGGAAAAGAGAATAAGTCATCATCTAGAGGGACTTCAATTTCTGCAGTGCAAGTTTCAATCTAATGCAGGTGGGAAGCAGTACAGAGCTGACAAGACTTTGTGGAGAGAAATGGCTGCTGCTCACTGAGGCATCTGCATTCTGGTAAGAGAGCTTCAAAGACATTTGTTGCAACAATTTAAAAAAGCAAACAACAAATAAGCTTTTCAATGATAAAGCCAAACCCCCTGGCAGAAAAGCTGTTCATAAGAAACCCCCAAAACCTCAAGAAACTCCCCCAAACCTATGTCTCTTAGCCATCCTTTAGCTGAAAAATCAGTAATGGCCCTGTCTGCATTCCAGAGACTTTATCTAAAAGGAATTTATCTAGGGAATAGTAGCCAGATGCTATTTAGGGATTGTCTCACTTATGGAGAATTTTCCTGGATGTTTTATATGAGAGAAATAGCTTGGTTGTACCGTGTATCCACATGTACATGTATCCATGTACAATCCATGTACCCACAAGGGGCTTCTGTACCCACATTTGTCAAAAAAAAAAAAAACCCAAAAAGATCCACATAAAACACCTCAAAATTCTACAATTTTGGAACAAAGAGACAGTGAGAATGTTCTCCCCACCTTCTCTGCTCCTTCCTAAAGGGACAGTAAAATCAATACCAGACAGAGGTAGCTGAGGGACACAGCTCATACCAAGAATACCATTACCAGTTCCAATATCTATAACATCATTTGTCTCCAACTCAGGACCTCACAATAAGACTTTCCATAAATCAAGTAAGAAAATTATAGGCAGGTAATATTTCTTAAAGCATAAAGAACAGGTTTTGTTAAAGCAACTTCAAGAGGGCTCTAACAAATCAATTGCTGTCTGAAGCACAAGCTTGTAGGTATAAGCTGTTAAAATACATAGACCAAGAAATGATAGTTTTGATTTAAAGTTATTCTTCAAAAAAGGGGGAAAATGTTAAATAGTCAATGCTTAAATATTTTAAAACTTAAAAAAAAATCAGTTATGCTACCTCTACATAACTCCATATTAACTATATTTTATACCATGTACTCTAACAAGAAACAAGTGTTCTAACATATGAAGCAATTAAAGCACTCTTAACAGATTGCAATTTAATGGTACAGAATATTCCATTTATTTCTAGCTATTCCCTCAACTAAGTAAATAAAATTCAGAATAGCAAAACAAGTTTTATGATAGCCCAAAGAAAACTACCCTTAAGAATGATTTTAATCCCTGAACTACCAGCAGTAGAAGACAGCAAGATAAAGTTGGTGAAAATTCAGAAATAACAAAAAGCCTTTAACAAAGCAAGTAAAAAAAGTTTTTATATCTATATATAGATAGATATAGATATATATTCTTCACATACAGATCACACAGATCCCTTTCAGAGTGCAGACTAGAGAGGAGTTGGTAGGACTTTTCTAACCTGCAGGGAGACAGGCAGGTTACATCAGGTCACACAGGATGGAGAGGCTGCAATGCTCAGGTCCTGAGAGGAATAAGGGGAAAGCTGACATCTAGAGAGCAGGGGGTCACCTTGCAGGGGCAGACAGCGCCCCAGACACTTAAAAGGGTTTTCCAGCCCTCTCTTAAAGCAGGTGTCTTAAAGCCGTGTCAGACCTTTAGTCAAATTGCAGGTGACCATATATTAATCCTTCAACTACTTGGAGGTAAAACATGACCTGAAGTTAGTGCTGAAGCAGGGAGGAAGGACCCAGCAGGGAGAAATGATCAGAGCAACCCCAACAGAGCATCCCCTGCTAATTTTTGCCCTGTATCCAGGTGTACTGCTGGTGCAGTGATTCTGTTTCATAGCTGCATCCAGACCTACTTCTAGCACAATTGTAAACTAGATGGTGAGAGGATCTGCAAACAAAACATTAAGAATGCAGCACAGGGATATGGGGGAAAGCATTAGATGTCATGAATAGGCCACTGAGATTTGAAGGGCCTTTAGGTTCAGACACCCTGACACG